ATTTTTTGACAACTTTTTAATCTATTTCAAACAAAAACTAAATTAAACCAAGGGCAACATTGAATTTTTCCTTTTTTTAAAAAAAAAAAATTATTATTATTTCTGACTTTATTTTGCAATAAAATTCAACATAAACTCTCACTACATTTGAAGCAAGTAAATGTATGTTAATAATGCACTTTCAATAATTTAACTGTCGATATTAAACCTTCGTCCTACCGAAACTATTATTACGTAAAAAGAAGAGGAAAATTGGGTTGCTAAGAGGGCAACTGACTCACATTTCTTTGTACTTCTACTTTCATGTTACAAATCGTCAAATACAACATGATCGCTCATAGCTACTTACCAAACACTAGAGATGGCAAAATATGTGATAGCTCAAAAATAATTAATCAAAAGGGGGGTGAATTGATTTTTAAAACTTTTTTGAACATTTAATTTAAATTCAAACAAATAAAAACTAAATAGATTAATTCAAATAATAAGTACAAATATAAAAGCAATAAGTAAAAAGGAGATAGGATGAAAACGATATAATTGTAGAGGTTCGATCCAAAGCAATGATCTACGTCCTCCGTTACCAAACTTTTCGGCACGAGCAAGGCCTTTTCACTATGTTGATTAACTTATGGTGCAATCCAATATTTTTACAACGCTTCCGGTGACTTACAAACAAGGATCACTGATCCTTATACAATGTCGAGCTTTACGGGAACTCAACACAACTCACTATTGAGGTTTCACGAGACCTTAATATGACCCACACTGTGACTTACAACAAGGAGCATCGATCCTTATACAATATTGATCTTTTAGGGACTTCAAGACGGCCCACACTTTATCAAAGTGATTTTACAATAGAATACCTCTCTTGATAAATAATACAAACAAGTTAAATATTAAGAGAGACCAACACTTCAATGAATAATAATAAATGATAACTCAAGTGTTAGATAAAAAAATTTGATGAATTGAAGTGTTTCAATGAGAAGATGAAAAAATAATTACAATGTAGGTTCAAAAATTTTCTCAAGAAGTATCAATATTTTAATGGATGATTGTAATGAATTAAGTACTAAGAGATAAATGAGAAACTTTGATGAATATGATAATTTTAATAGTATAGTTCAATCAATCAAA